ATTCGCCTATGCAAGGGATGAGGGTGCGCGACCTGCCAGTTCTGGTACCCTTATTCTATTTATGTCCTCCTCCATGCCCGGCTATGTGGGTGTGTGCATTGAGTCCCATCGACAAAATTGTTCCCTGTCTGTTTGCCGAAGCTCTGTCATACGCTCTCTGGCAGCAGCAAAGGTCAGTTTGGAAGAGGCTCAGCATTTCTCATGGGGTACGATGGTTTCTATAGGCCTTGGCTAGTCTGCGAGCGGTACGTTTCAATGTTCGAAGTTTAGAATCAATTGTATTAGGTATGATTTTTATAGACTTTATGATTATTATGGAAGTCATTTGGATTTGAGTAGTAGGAGGTTTCAGAGGCGGGCTCTAAGAAGTTCTGAATATGCTCACAAGGTCATTGTTAAACGTCTCGACAGAGTACACTCCATAGTAATTATACAGTCAGTCACATGTGCAACAAAGTCATCTTGTGATAGGGGAAACATTAAGACGTTTTCCGTTTGAATAATCCCACCAGGGAGAATAGTATTTCCAATATCTAGAGAGGTTAGCCCTTGGGAAATGATTCAGACGCTATATCTGTTACAATGGATAGATCACAGCTGGCAGAAGTAATGTTGAAGCAAGACACAGATCAGGACACCTCATAGATATGTGTGGGTTCAAGGTCACCTACAATTTGCACATTATCATGACTGTTTAGAAGGGACAACAGTTGATTGCCATTAACCATTACCAAATGAGGAGTTTCCAATGCTTTGTGTCTTGCATTATAAATACCCTAATGAGAGTAGGTTCAGACTGAGCACAAGTTGGGAGCTCCAAGTAATTAAAACTTATCAGCAGGAGCGTACAAGTTAAATATGGTTGAGAGCAGAGTTCCCATATAAAATCCTTACACCGTGATAACGGTAGCCTCTGTTTTCTTATGTGCAGAAGTTGATGGGGAAGGATTTTTTAATATATAGATCACAAGTATTAGTAGATTTGGGTTATATGCAACAAAAAGATGGCAATTTAGGGGGTTGGATTTTTTCAGGGACTCTGCACTTTGTAGACCACTGTTTCTATGGATTCAGTTGGTTACTTTATGATGCAGGTCAGAAAATCTTTTTCTAAGTGACGCAATATTCCAACTTAAAATGGATAGTTTATACGGAGTTTGGTTCCATTATAAAAGTCCAGGGATTAGTTTTCATTTCTCAGCAAAATGGATAAACTTACTAAATAACAAACAGACATAATTCAATATCATTATCATCAGTATAATCCTATCCATGAGTCTCCTAAGTGCAATTCCATTAAGTGTGGCCTCTTGGTGTCTTTGATAACAGAGGTCCTGCCGTCGTTCTTTGTTGTGAATGTATGGAAGGTGACACTATCCCTCCACTCAACTCTCGCTTTTATAACACTCATCACTATCATCACCATGTATCACTTCCCTATCATTTTGACCAGTTGTATGAAGCCAAGGATTCTGTTAGCTTTATTGCGATCATTATGCACTGTTGTCTTGGTTTCAGATTACTGCTAACCTGAACTCCTAATTCTTTTTAGCAATCCGTAATATTAAGATCTACATTATTTTGGTTTATGTGTGGCATGGTTATTGTCCCTGTCCAACTTTGATGGTTAGGGATAGATCAGAGTTTCCCTGTTTCGCCGGACGATGTGAAGTTAATGAGGATAATTAAATCAGACGGGATCAGGCAGAACTTCAAAGAGACTGGACAGGCTGAACAACCTGGTCCAGCAATGGTCTCGAATTCTACCCCGCCAAATGGCACAAATGCAGTATGAGATTGGGGAAGGCTCAAAGGAGACCAGACTGAGTATAGGCTAGGTGGACAAGACTGCAAACTCACTCAAGGAGAAAGATCTTGGGGTGAGCATAACACCGAGCCCGTCTCCGGAAGCCCACATCAACCAGATAACTGCTACAGCATATGGGCACCTGCCAAACCTGAGAATAGCGTTCCGTTACCTTAGTAAGGAATCGTTCAAGACACTGTACACTGTGTACGTCAGGCCCATACTGGAGTATGCAGCACCAGTTTGGAGCCCACACCTGGTTAAACACGTCAAGAAATTAGAGAAAGTGCAAAAGTTTACAAGAAGGTTAGTTCCGGAGCTCAGGGAAATGTCCTACGGAGAAAAGTTGAGGGAAATTGGCCTGACGACGCTGGAGGACAAGAGGGTCAGGGAAGACATGATAACGGCATACAAAATACTGTGTGGAATAGATAAGGTGGACAGAGACAGGATGTTCCAGAGATGGGACACGGAAACAAGGGATCACAACTGGAAGCTAAAGACTCAGACCAGTCAAAGGGATGTTAGGAAGTACTTCTTCAGTCGTAGAGTTGTCAGGAAGTGGAATAGTCTTGCAAGTGATGTAGTGGAGGCAGGAACCATACATAGCTTTAAGACGAGGTATGATAAAGCTCAGGGAGCAGAGAGAGAGAGAGGACCTAGCAGCGATCAGTGAAGAGGCGGGGCCATGAGCTGAGTCTCGACTCCTGCAACCACAATTAGGTGAGTATAATTACGTGAGTACACAACAGTCAAGGACCAGGTAATCAGGCTGAGGAAGGAAGGAGAGGAGGTCACAAAAAACGACCGCGAAGTATATGAGGAGCTCAACATGAGATTCAAAGAAGTGTTCAAAGAGGTCCATGGAACTGGGACTTTATCCTCCTCGTCCGTGGATTAAACCCAAGTATCTTCCATTCCTCAGGTGCTCTCTGACCCCTCTAGTGCTTAGTTATGATTATAATAATAATACATGACCCCTACTGTTTTGGTGCTTTTGCCAAATAAAAATAAATAAGTGTTACAGGCAATGATATTGTGAAAAATTATATGATAAACACATTAAACAAAGATGGGATACTGTAAGCATAGCAGTAGAGTGAGTAAGTCAAGAAACATTGCAACCTCTACATGAACCAACCCCTCAAGGTTCCTTGATGCTGGTGAGGGGCTCTTGATCTAGGAAATTGGATCTGTGCTCCAGTTCCCTGAATTAAGCCTGAATACTCTCCATCCTCTCCCCCCACAACAGCTGTGTAATCCCACGGGTTTAGCGCTCCGTCATGATTATAATAATAATAATACATGAACCAGCTTGCTGCAAGTTTGATATCCCTTATTTGATGATGTAGATGTATTCCAGATATGTGAGATAAGATAAGATAAGATTTCGTTCGTATTTTTAACCCCGGAGGGTTAGCCACCCAGGATAAAGCAAGAAAGTCAGTGCGTCATCGAGGACTGTCTAACTTATTTCCATTGGGGTCCTTAATCTTGTCCCTCAGGATGTGACCCACACCAGTCGACTAACACCCAGGTACCTATTTGCTGCTAGGTGAACAGGACAACAGGTGTAAGGAAACGTGTCGAAATGTTTCCACCCGCCAGGAATCGAACCCGGGCCCTCCGTGCGTGAAGTTAGTTTAATATGTTTATTATGCACCCCATACCTATCCTGTGGGCGGTAGTCAAAAGATTACAGAGGTACATAATTGGTCCAGGGACTGGACTCCAAAGTTTTGATAGTCCAGTCCCTGGACCAATTATGTACCTCTGTAATCCGTGAAGCGGGAGCTTTAGCCACCAGGCCTGAACATGCGGTAGTTTTATTAAGCTTAATCACCCCATAAACAGTTAATTCTGTGTAATAAGAATCTTCAATATGTTTTGAAAGCAGCAAGGATCATATATGGTGAATGTGTATCACAGAATTGATAAATTAGACGCATATGCAACATTGTTGAATCTTTAATGAGAAAACGTTTTGCCACACAGTGGCTTCATCAGTCCATACAAAGGAGAATGGTGAAGAACAGGAGTGTGAGGTAATCAGTCCCTCAACCTTGAGTAGATGTGGTCAGTCCATCAATTTTGAAAAGAATACAGCATATGTGTGAAGAAGTAGCTTATATATTGTAGGCAGGAGAGGTGCAGCAGTAGTAGGTGGTACCACACTTGTCCAATGTGGAAGTAGGTTATGTCCAAGGGTTAGGCAAGTTGAAGAATTCCTTGTATTAAGAGCCCAAGATGTTGCTGTGTCAGACAGGAATGTAGATGAATGGTTCAGAGAACCGACAAGTTGATAAATTAGACACGTGCAACATTTGGGTATCTTTAATGTCCGAAGCAATCACAGTACAAGAGGGAGAAAGCACAACTTTGTAGTACCCACAGTCAATAGCCAGGCTTCAAACACCTTTTATTGTACAGCAGTAAAGGAATGGAACATGTTGCCTGCACATGTCAAAGCCAGTCATTGCATGAACCAGGTTCAACAAGAGCTGAAAGGTACCTAATGAATGTAGCAACAGAAAGGGAGGAAAATGATATTTTATTTTTTTTAGCTAACACACATGTAAATGTAAATAACTCTTTTTACCTTATTCCTAGTATATATCATTTATAGTACAATAATAAGATGTCTCCTACATTATATAATAATAAGGTATTAAAAGGACCCCAGTGGAAAAAAGTCAGTGACTTTTTTTTTGGGTTATCCTAGGGTCTCTACATATATGCTGTTATGTATGATAATCCGTGTAACTGTATTTGTGTACCAGTCAGTTGTGGACCAGTCAGCCAGTGGAAGGCCTCGGTCAGAGGACCAAAAGCTCCAGCTAAGGGTCATCATATGACTAAGACCCGCGTCACGAAACACTTGTCCTGTTTCCTGACAAACCTTACCTAACCTAACCCAAGACGCTAGTAAAATGGTACCGGATCATAAAAAAATATTAAAATATATTTGAACCGGTCGCCAGCTATTGAGCATAGAATCCACAAACATAAAATTCATAGAATTTAAAAACGGATGAAAAAACAAACAAACAATCACGTTAAGCAGATAAACTGCTCTAAAACTCATTAAGCAGCAATAAACCATATAAAAAATAAAAAAATAATAATCTAAGGGTACAGTAGTAGGTAATAAGAAGTAAGAACTCCATTAATATTCCTGCATGTTGTGGGAGTGGGCTGGAAGGTGTGACATGTAAGACCACAATCGATGTGTCAAACAACATTTATGAGTCCCTGGCGGTGTGTAGTTCGGAGATATGGAGCTCTTACAAACTGACAAATACTATATATTTAACAGAGGCCAAGATTCCTTGTGGTGTAACCGGAAAACCGGGCAGTTCCAGGCCAAAACATGTGAGTAGGAGGAGGATTGTTTACATGTCATTGTTACCACAGCTTGACCTCAACCCCCCTCAAGGAAGGTTCCTTGATGTTGGTGAGGGGCTCTTGATTTAGGGAATTGGATCTGTGCTCCAGTTCCCTGAATTAAGCCTGAATGCCTTCCACATCCCCCCCACAAGCGCTGTATAATCCTCCGGGTTTAGCGCTTCCCCCTTGATTATAATAATAATAATTGACCTCAACCACCAGCTGGTCAGTGACCTCGTGACCTCTTAAACACCATAACTCTCACTTTATCTCACACCCCTCCCCCCTAACTACAGTAGTCAGCTTATCATCCCTTAATCATAATAGTCAGGTGGTGAGTAATTATGGTCGGCAGGTGGACTCAGGTGGTGTGTCACAGCTGGTGTCACTACTCCATCCCTCAAGGAAGCTTCCTTGATGCTGGTGAGGGGCTCTTGATCTAGGGAATTGGATCTGTGCTTCAGTTCTCTGAATTACACCTGGATACCTTCCTCCCCACAGGCGCTGTATAATCCTACGGGCTTAGCGCTTCCCCTTGATTATAATAATAATAATCGAGTTCTCCAGTGGAAATAAGTTCCTTAGTCTGGCTTTTTTGGGTTAATCCTAGGTAATATACACATACGCTGCTATGTATGATAATTTATGTAATCGTATTTGTGTACCTGAATATACTTAGCGGCTGACACTTAAGGACTCCAGCAGCCAGCAGCAACAGCCTGGTTGATCAGGCTCTGATCCACCAGGAGGCCTGGTCACAGACCGGGCCATGGGGGCGTTGACCTCCGGAACTCTCTCCAGGTAAACTCCAGGTAATACTACTGACTCTTTTGGGAGGTTATCCTAGGTATTTTGTAGTATGTATGGTAATTGTACTTATGTGTACCTGTGCCTAAATAAACTTAGTACCACTGGTGGGGGCAAGGGTCGTGTTGGGAGGTCACAATACTATGAGTGGGTTACAGTGCCACAGGGGAGGGCAGTGATCTCCCCTGTGGCAGTGGTGATGGTTATGGTACAATGGGTGGGGTCAGTGTGCTATGGGTGGTGTCACATGCAAGGTCACAGCAGTACAGACGGCTTTACATTGCCACGTGCAGGGTCACAATACCACATACAGGCTCTAGTTACTGAGTAATACTCGGAGAAACTTGGGCATTACATTTTATAATACAAGCCACCAATGTATATCACAGACTAAGTATTTCTTCTGCAAATTATTGTTATGGGAGATAAGTGAAAATCGTACAGTTTGCATAACACATCTAGCTAATCAACACTTAATATTGAGCCGTGACATATACTTGTCTAATGTAAACAAAGGCAGAGTAAGGTTAAGTTATGTTTAGTTATTTTAGGTTAGATTAGGTGGGTTTCATTAGGCTTGGGTACATTTTTTACCATTTGCATAATAAAATAACATCTCAGATATAAAACCAACTTACTATTGTACAATCAAAGGAATTAAACTTTTCTTCTTCCTTCGATTGAACCTGATTGCCCCCATTCCCTGGGCATGTACGACACCTATGAGTATAGCACCTCTCTCTAAACATATATTATTACCATAATAATGGTAATAATATACCTGTGGCTGGTTTCAAAAGCTGAACAGGCAATCACCAGAAAAACATGGCCTCCAGGCAGGGCTTCAAGTGTGGAAAAACTCTTAAAACAGGTCATTTAAGGTTATATATTCCTTGTTATATATACCTTGTTAGGTAACATTTATGAAGGGATTCAGGGAAACTTGTTAGCTGGACTTGAATCCTGGAGGTAGAAAGTACAGTGCCTCCATCCTGGAGGAAGAGTGGAGATATGTTGGAGTATTTTAACTGTAGTGTCTGTATACATTTGGCAAGATAGTGATGGAGTGAGCGATGATGAAAGCATTTCTTCTTTTTCAGGTCACCCTGCCTTGGTGGGAAATGGCCGATGTGTTAAAAAAAAAAACTTATTTAGAAATTACTTTTTGAAGAATGACGTCCTCCTTTCTTATGTCATGAATCCCAGTTATCTTTTTTTAATAGCTAGGATATCATTTTAGTTCTATTTTGCACACAGATAGTAATACAAAAAAAAGGCACAATACTGTGACTAGAACAATACACACATAACCCACATATAGGAGAGAGGGGCTTTTAATGACATTTCGGTCTGACTTGGACCATTTACAAAGTCACACTAACAGAAAAGAGTGAGGGAGCCAGTATATATAGGCAAGGGGAAAATGGACAGCTTATTTGTGTATTGTGAAATAGTAATAAGCACAATCTTTTGAGTTCTGTCTACACAAAGCTTACCCACGCTTTCTTGCTTGGTTGGATGTATTGGCTTGTCACTCATGCAATCTCTTCCAAATTCAAATTCTTTCTTACCTTTCAGGATAGCTCTACTCCTCAAAGCCGCACTCTGTTTACCTTTTAAACACGTTTCCAATCTTCCATCTTTCCTGAAAACATATTGAAGGTATGTTTGCTTAAACATCATAACCTGCTTGCGCTTCCATATTATTGCTGTTGTGTCATTGCATACTCTTAATCCTCCTATTTAAATGTAACTACAGTACTGTATATATAAGTGTGATTATCACTTAGCTTGATCCATGTGAACTTGACAGTAATATCAGTGTTGGTTATAACATATACACCTACCATCTGACTTACAACCTGCTTGACATACGACCACTCAACTTACGACAGTGTTTTGTATGCCAAATTTCTGGGAAATAGACAACTGTTTGTGTTGTACACAGTGTTTATCCTAAACCTTACAGTATAAAATAAAGTACTAACAGCATAAAAAGTAAAGTAAAAAATGAAATACCAAAATAAAACTATAAAATAAAGGCATTACAAAAATGTGATGTTGATATTCAGTAGTAAGGTTCGACTTACGTCCATTTCGGCTTACGACCAGTTGGTTGGAACCAAGCTCGGTCGTAAGTCGGATGGTACCTGTATTTTATTACCGTACTTTAGTACAGCACATGAAAAGCAGGGTTGAGGCAGAGGAAAAAAGTATTGGCATAACAAAGAATACATGTGCTGTTGTATGATTTATATTGTAAGAATACAGTGTGCACAGGCGGGTCTCACTTCACAGCTCTTCACTTTACGGCATTTCGCTAATGCAGCGGTTTTCAGTTATACCCATTCTTCATTTATTCAGACTTTCTACAATAAATATATTCACCACTCACTACAAGCTAAGGACAAAAATATTTTAAAGTAAGTAATGTGTGTACTGTATATGCCTTTTTTGACCTAGATTTATTGCTCACTTAATATATGATAGAGTAAACATGTTATCAGGCTTTTATATGCATTTGAAAGTGAAAAAAGTATGTTTCACTTTACAGCAATTTTTGCTTTACATCAGTAGCCCAGAATGTAACCTACTGTATAAGTGGGGCCTTCCTCTACTCACTGATTTGTACTCATTGATTTGTGTTTGTAGGGATGGGGGAAGGGGTTAAGTCTTAGCTCCTGACCCTGCCTCTAAGTAACATTGGTAGACATTACTGGTTTCTGGCCTCTTAGGTTCATGGCATACTGTAGCTACTCTTGAAAATTGTATGTATGAAATTTGCCTCCACCTCTTTGTCTGATTCATTCTATTTTTCTTCCAGCTTGAGAATATTCTCTGATCCACTAGATGCACTGTTCTTGTAGATTGTAGATCAGTCCCTGGTGGGGTCAAATTCTTTCTTGTAATCCAAGAAGATGCAGTTCACCAAAACCTCCTTTGTTTTATCTCTATGATTATAAGTTTACAAGATGGAATTTTCATCTTTTAATTTATTATAGTTTTTTCCTGACAAAGCCTATCCTCTCCACATGCTCTTAATACAATTAAATTTGATCCAGAACTTTGGATAACTTGAAAATCATTGATACTGGCCTAAATTCAATACTTCATGTCTGTCCTGCTTTTATATACTGGAGTTACTAGCTTATTACCAGTTGTCTGATAATTGCCCCATGTCCAGAGACTGGTGTTTCTGGACTTTCTGTGCTCATGGAGATAGTGCTTGTCACTAAAGCTTGCTGGCCCTTCTTCCCTGAAACTGTGACCTCAAAATAGATTGTCTTTTGCATTTTAGGACATTCTTCAGTCATCTAGGAAATTATTAACACTTTCTTTAGAGTTTCATGGGGTAAATTTCCCCTTGGTTCATGGATGGTGTTCTAAAGTCATGGGATTGGGGTAATATCCTTCCCACTATTAGATCTATCTCTATCACAGCCCAGAGGTTCTCAGTGAGGTTCAAGTCTGGGGAATATCCTGAGCAGTCATCAAGGAAGAGTACTTCACAGGCATGAAGTCATTAGACAGCAGATTCTGTGGTGTGGCAAGAAGGTCTGCCTTGAATATAAATTTTGTACCATACTGTGTGAAAGATTTGGGCAAATAACAGTATTTCTAGGTATGTTAATGAGGTCATTTTTCAAGGCTTCCCTGGACATGCTTTTGGTGTGGGCATATCATCAACACTGTCCTTAAGGAACTGACACAAGGAGGTCCTCACTGGATCCTCATACATATTGGTGGCTTCTGCTATTTCCTTTGTTGGATGGCCCACCCTATGTAATCCAATGATCTTTGCATTTGTTTTGTGTGTCATTGACTTACTCCTGCCCATATTAATTTGTCAGCAGTTGAAAATATTCAAGAAACTCGAGCCTCGAGACTGTGAAGTACAGGGGTACCATGGACACAAAACCGTCTACCACACAAGCCTAGAAGGCACTTAAGATGCAGCCAGTAGCCTTAAGAAATCCTGAGATGTTCTGCTTTGAGTTGTAAAGCCAGTATAACTTTTGCCTTATCACCAAACCTACCAGGGTAAGGTATTACTTTGGGCATTGCATTACACTGGATGCTGGCTACCCAGCATACTTTAACAATGAGCACTGTACATTGTGTGAGCCTCTCAATATTATGTAAGGTTTCTTCAGTATTTTCATCGCTTTGACCTTTAT